GGGGCAGAGCTCTCCTGGTGACCAGTGGCTGTGGAGGGGAGAGCAGGTCACTCTGCTTTTCTCACACTGTCTTCTCCTGGATGTTCTTTTTTTTTTTTAAATCTTTTAAATTAAAAAAAAAAAAAACCAAAAAAACCCCCAAAACAACAAAACAAATAAAAATAATAAAATAAAATTAAAAAAATTCGCTGTTGTCCCAAGTGGATTCAAGTTTCTGGGTTTTATTTTTGTCTTCTTGAGGAATTTAAAGTCAGCCCAAAACTCCAGGTGGGGTGGGGGGGATGGGGAGAGGAGGTACAGCAGGTATAGCAAGGTGCCCTGCAAAGGCAGAGAGAGACGATCCCAGGTGAGGAGCAGGAGCCACGGCCGCTCCACCCCACCCTCCTGGCCCAGGATTCAAACCCAGCATGAGTAAACTACATTCAAGCAGCCCGCGGCAGGCTCACCTTAGAGAGAAGTCAGCAAGCACGCCTGGCGGGTCAATCAGAAGGATGCTCCGGGCAAGATCTGTTCACTTCAAACCACGAGTCTATACAGCTGGAGAGAGGAGAGCGCATCACCACCATGCCGCTGAGCCTCGAGATGTCCCCGTCTGTCCCCCTGCCACCCGCCTGGCTGCGTCCCCTCACACAGGGCGGTACCTTTTGTGATAAATGCAGAGGCAGGGCAGCCTGGCTATCGTGTCCCCCTGCAGCAGCTCCTCCAGGCAGATCACGCACTCGCCAGCGTCCTTGGTCAGCACGTCATCTGGGAGGGGAGGAGAGGGCAGCGGTGAGACACAGTCCAACGCGGCATCCCCCTTCCCAGGATGGAGGGGAGCCCACAGCCACCTCTGCGGAGGCAGCTGGGATGGGGCAGCCGATCGGCAGCAGCGCCGGCAAATGCTGGCAGCAGGCTCAGGTGGAGGCACAGCGGGGAGATGGGGCTGGGGCGGCTGCAGCAAACACACCCCCTGCCCCTGGCTTCCAAAAACGCACCCCTGAGGAGGGGCGAGCGTCACTCTGTGTGAGTGGTCAGGACAGAGGATGGGAGATGCATGAGCTTGCAGACCAGTGCTCAGCCCAGTAAGCCTCACGGCCAGCGAGGATGGGAGGAAGGCAACGACCCTTCAGAGGGGCAGCCCAGGAGGACACACGTCCCCTGCCCGAGCCAGGCAGGACGCCCGACGAGGACGGCTCCCTCTGGCATGGCACACCGTGGTGAACAACATGGGGAAGGGGCTGTGTTACAAAGGGTCCTGCGGCAAAAGCAGTGGGGTTGAGCCATACTGGAGGAGCGGAGCGGAGCAGGGACCGTGAGTTGCACTGGTCTGCTGGAGCACAGCCCTCCTGGCAAGCCCAGCCGAGCCGCCTGCCCATGCAGCCTGCAGCAAGCGTCTCTCCAGCCTGCCCGGAGCCATCCCAAGCCGGCAGGACGCCGTGTCCCCCGCACAGCTGGCCGCCGGCCCTTACCGTTGTAGGAGAGGCGAGGTTTGCTCAGACACATGATAAAGTGCATTTCCATCTCGTCAGAAGCCACAGATTTGGAGCAAATGGGGCACTTGAAACCTGGAGGGAGAGCAGAGAGATGAGCCCTTAGCGAGGGGAGGAGGAGAAGAGCCCATCCCGCATCCCGGGGAGTCCCCGAGGCCATGGCAGGGCACGGCAGCGGGCAGCCCCTCACCTGCTGCCTGCATGGTGGCACACACCCCACGCAGCACCCGCCGGACACCCACTCATCCTCTGCCGGCCGCCAGCAGTGCTGGTGTGGGGGACAGCCACCGGACAGGGGACAGTCGCCCAAGCCGGTGCACCGGTCTTCCCGTGCCCGCCGCGCAGAGGGCACAGAGAGTGTGCCAAGGCAGAGCACACGTGGCCATCAGCTGCTGCCAGGCCTTAAAGGGCGAGGAGCAGCCCGGGGCACACAGCTCCCTGCGGCTGGCAACTGCAGGGGCACGTCCCCGTTCCAGGACGGTGCTGTCCCTGCTGCCGTAGCTCAGCCCCACACAGCTGAGCCAGAAAAGCTGCAATGAAGGAGGTTTTTCTGTAGGGCCGCAGCAGAGGACGGGCAGGCTGGAGCCACGAGCCCAAATTGTTGCTTTCTCCAGCTTTTTGCAGGAGTGAGGTGGGTGCTAGCCCCTCCAATGCCAGCCAGCAGCCCCAGGAGCAGGGGGACCCTGCAGGCTGACGTCCCAGCTTGGCCTTGGTCCTGCCTTGCCACCCGGACCTGCCTGGTGACTTGGACTCTTGGATGAAGCTGGCTGTGATGTCCAGATCTGCTCCGCATCCTTGCTCGGGCATGAGGATGAGGCCTGGCTGGTGCCAGGGTATCACACCGGTGCCACCACCTGCTCGAGCCATGCAGACCACCATAGCATCATCCCCAGCGCCACCGAGTGAGGCTGCCCCAAACTCAGGTTTCCAAGCCCCAAACTCCTGGGGATCCAATCCCCAACCAGCCCTGCAGGTCACCCCCCCGGGACTTCCTGCCCTCCCACCACAGCCAGCTCGAGGCCGTGCAGTTTGTCACCGTCCAGCACAGCGGGGCTCAAGCCAATGCAGCCAAACATGTGCGTGCCGCCACCACCACCATGGGTTTGCACCAGAATATCTAGCAATTCCCTGCCTGCAGAGAGGGAGAGGGTAATTTAAGGACCTGTCTTCTAAAAGCAGATCAGGTTTGACTGCAGTGCCGCTTAAGAGCTTTCTTCATATATATGCAAAGGCTGCTCAGGAAAGAAGAGAAAAGGAACATACGCAAATTACCTAAGGATGAATCAGGTTCTTGTTTGCCACCACGTGGACGTGGCGAGGGCATTTTTTTTGCTTCTTGGAAGGGAGAAAGTGCGGGTGGCTTTAATGGGAGGCAGCTCAGACCTTTGCCATGCAAACAGCCAGGATAACTGCTCAACACCTGAGCACCCTCTCATTAGCAGCGGTGATAAGTAGAGATTACTTCCCAGCTCCCTGGATGAAAGCATATGACAGGGATGCCCACTCCTGCCCCTCCGGAGGGAGGTTATTTCCCAGGAGGGCACAGCAAGCACAAGCATCATGGATTGCGGGGGACTGGCTCTAAGGGGACATGCTAAAACAAGGAGCCCTTGCGCCCAGGGGCCTCTCCAGCAGAGTGCCAGGCTGGCCCGCAGCGTGCCACCATAGGGACACATCTCTGCCCCAGACGGGCTGTGCTGCGGGGTCTCCGCTGCGAGTCTGGTCCCGTTTGCAGCAAGCCCCAGCTGAAAGGACAGCGCTGGCAGCCGGAGCCTCGCGGGCAGCAGCACCGATCTGCCTTCTCCTCTCCAGCCTAATTTTACTCCTGACCGATTTATACCTTGTGGCAGCAGTGCCCATTAGCTGAAATAGTTGGGTTTTTTCTCCTCCCAAGTGTTTACCCGCCTGGTGTATTTATAGAGCGGGCTCGGATAGCCTCCCAGCCTGCCTTCTGCAAGACCCAACTAGCCTCCCCTTGCAAGAAACCTTCCCCGTCCCCTGGCTCCCCTGGCAGCCTGCCTGCCCCTGTCCCCAGCTGAACTGATCCTGCTTGAACGTGGACGGTCTGCCAGCACCGCGGGCGCCGGTCCCTACCAGGGAAGCTCTGGGGACCAGTTTCCAGCAGGGAGCCCCTGGCATGGGGCAGTTGCGAAGGGCTCCCTTTGGAAAAGGTGTTTTGGCTGCAAATGTGGTGTCAGGGCAAGCCATTTGCAGAGGTTAAGTACCGTCCTTGGTGCACTGCACGGGAAGACCTTGTCTCCTCTGTTCCCCCCTTTTTCTGTGCCAATGTGTTATTTTAAACAGCTGCCCCAGATCTGCCAGCTCCAGCAGCACCCAAAGGGATCCTATGAGACATGCAACCGGGGCAAAGGGAGAGGGCCCCGGATGAGACCGCCCAGCCCACAGCTGCCGGGGCACGAACGCCGGCTGCCAGCAAAGCAGCAGGAGCCAGAGAAAGAGCAGGGCCCTTTGCAGGCTCCGGTGAGTGGCTGTTGCCATCTCCAGGCCTCTTTGCTAGCTGGGGTAGTTTTAGCACGTTTATAAATAGCCAGCACAAACACTCGTCACACTCCTCAGTGCTCCCTGGGCAGCTGGCTGGGGGACAGGGACCCCCAGTGCTGCCGCAGCCCCGTGGCAAGGACGCGGGGGACGTTGCTCAGACAGAGGCGCCCGGGCTCAAACCCCAGCACGTGCGCGGCGGGCCCCCGCCCACGCGGGGGGGGGGGGGGGAACACAAAATTATGAAAATGCAATTGCATAAATTCCTGGGTCTGAGCGGGAGTGAGGAGCCAGCGTGGAAAGGCCCCCGGGGTGCGGGGTCGCCCTGCACCCCAGCTGTCAGCACAAATACTTGGCATTGCAAGAGCAGCTGCTGGCATCCCCCTCCACAGCAGGCACTGGGAGCCGTGGGGAGCCCACCGCCAGCAGGAAAGGGGAGGCAGAGAAGGGGGTCAGGCTCCCTCGTCCCTTCTCCAGGTGACCTTTGGGGGGAGGTGGTGGATGGAAAACCACTGAAGCCAGGGGACAGCCGGCACCCAACAGTGGCAGGCGCCAAGCCCAGTGTCTCGGAGCATCCCTCCGCAGTTCAGGCAGGCGCTGGGGCCCAGAGCCGGTTCCACACATGAAAGGGTCGCTCCCCACGCGGCCGGCCCCCTCCGGGCCATGGTATTTTCCACGTTCCCCGAAATCCCCGTTAATTTATCCTGCCTAAGCTGCCAGCCCGAGCGACACAGGAGATTACATTTTGACAGCTGCTCATGGAAAATTCAGCTCCCTCCCTCCTCCTCGAGCCCTTTCTGCCCTCCTCCCACATGCCTAAAAAAAAAATAATGAGAGAGAGGAAGGGCCCAGCTATTCCTCCTCGCCTGGGCCTCCCACGCCTTGGGGAGGCTCAAGGGATGCTCCGGGGAAAGGCCATGGACCCTTCCTCCCTCCCAAGGCGCCTGGGGCAGCTGGCAATGCTCCTGCCTGCGGTGTGTTAAACCTGAAGCTGCCACCATCTCCACAAGCAGAGATGTGCAGGCAGGCACCAGCTCTTGCCAGGAGCAAGCGAGGAAGAGGAGGGTGCTGTGGGAAGCGGGCTGGCCCAGAAAGGCAGGTTCAGATCCAGACCTGGACTCTTGTATCCTGCAGGAGAGTTTGAGAAAGCCAAGGGTTTTCCAGGGCTGTGAGACACACATTGCCAGGTGATCTCATCTCTCCGATGGCTTGGTCTAGAAACTGGGAGCAAGCAGTGCTGGTGCTCTCCAGGGGCTACTGCCTTCCGAGTATTTTTAGGAAGGTTACATCGTTAATTTTAGACAGCTGGGCAAAGCAGAGCTGGGAACCTCGGAAAGCCTCCACCAGGTCCTATGCTAACTGAAAAAGCTGTTACGGTGCCGAAAACACCACCACACAGGCTGCTGGGGCTTTGGTGGTGGCGGGAGGGTCAAGACATATTTCCAACCCATCTGTAAACATCTCAAATGCAGCTGCTTCTGAAGCTGGGATAGGAAATTCCCATCACTTGTGCCTACAGGTGATGACCACAGCAACCTTAACGGCTTGGGGAAGCCACCGAGCACTACAGTGGGGTCAACCACACCACATCCTGCTCTCCTCGGGGACGGGTGGGACAGCGTCCATGGGAGCCGCGACTCTGTCCCTGGCCGCAGGGGAAGGCACATACCATGTCTGCCTTCACTCGCCAAACCCTCCACTAGCTTGGTGTGCCTCCAGATGGACCACTTACAGGCTACGGTGCCACCAGGAGATGCAGCATTGCCCCAGCAGTAGGAAACCCTGGCTCTATTGCTAGCAGATAGCCGAAACGTGGTGAGCAACAGCTTCACCACTGTGCAGCACCTCCAGTGACAGGAGGAAGATGCTGGTGGGGGATGACGTGCCCTGAAGGCAGGGGGAAGCAGCAGCCCAGGCACAAGCAAGTGAGTGCAACCCCAGCAACCCGCCCCATAGCGAGTAGCATTCATCGAAGGGATCCCCAGCTGCCCAGGACCCTGCTACTGCAGTGGGATAAACCAGGAGCCCTGCGTGCCCGAGTGGCTACACAAACTCCCCAAAACACTCCCACCCCAGCAGGGGTCCCTCCCCTGGTTCCCAGCCACCCCACAGGACACCCTGATCACCAGGGAGCTCAGGGGTAAGCCCCAGGCTGCCTAATGTCCACGGGAGATCTGGAAACCTCAGCTGCACAGCCCATCTCCATGTCTCCAGAGAGCATCCTAGGCCTCCGGCCAAAGGAGCTGGCTTACACCAGGTGAGGATGCAGCCGAGCGCAAGATAAATGCAAGGAATATTTGGTCCAAGCACACAGCTGAAGCAGAGTCCTGGTGCCTCCTCCTTGCTGAGCAAACCCTGAGCATCCCACCTCCCCCCACAGCTTCCCTGACATCGCCAGCTGAACCAGCACCAGGTGGAAGCTGGAAGACATAGATCATCTTTAAAAAACCAAACCACTAGTGATTGAAGTGGAGGGCAAGACAGAAAGATCATGTATATGGGCCCAGTTGGTCAGTCTGAAGCAGAAACACGTGGGGTTGAGTAAGGAGAAAGGACGCCATGTCCTCCACTTCCCTTACCCACCGTGGGCTCCAGCACAGCCCCAGAAGGGAAGGGATCACACAGGAGTTTTCCTCCTTGCCAGCTGAGTGAAGGAAATCTGCAGAGCCAAGATATTCAGACCTTACATCCCCTGGAAAATAAATCCCCTACTGACTTAAAGCAGCCTTGTTGTTGGAAAGCGATGATTGCAGGACAGCACATTGGAGATGGCGTATGGGGTGCACAGAACACATCTCCAGCACTTGGGCATCACAGGGACCTGGTAGCTGAGGACCTCCACGGATGTCCTCTTCCAAGAGCATCACCTACTGTGGAAGCGACGTTCTGCTGGCCTCTGAGTGATGCAGTCAGCGATGCCACCTTGCACCAGGGCCAGGAGGCAGCTCGCAGCTGCACCAAGGACCCGTCCCATCAAGGACCACGCTCCCTCTGCCAGCAACATGCTTGCATTGAGTGCCTGGAGGCCGGGGTGCCCAGCAGGATCAGGCCCAAACCCCCTTCCCCTTGCAGGAGGAAACGGCATCAGCTGCAGGGGCAGATGCAGGAGCTGGAGCCCGACACAGCCCCGCTGCCTGCTACCCGGGCAGGACACAAGGCGCCGGGTGAACGCCGTGACGGTGGTTGGCTATTGTGCAGCACAAGGGCTGACACGAGCGGGGACACGTAGGCAGGAAGGAGTAAAGCACTTAAGCAGCCTCATTTACCGGCTCCAAAAAAGGGCCATATGAAACTCCCTCCTCCTGAGTCAAGGCTGCAGGGAGGTGGGGAAAGGGTGGAAACAAGACATCCCACCTTCCTGGGGGCGGAAGGGAGGCAGGGCTGGGGGACACCAGCAGGCCAGCCCCAGAGGACGAGCCAGGCAGCTGGGATGTGGCTGGGCCGAGATGTCCCTGGATGGCAGCTCTTGGCAAGAAACCCAACGGTGCAGGTTGCTGCCTCAGCAAAGGGACAGTTCTGCTCCATCCCCATCCCCATCCCATCCCACCGTTTCCTTGCTGATCAAGCCCGTTCAGATGGCTGAGCCGGAAGAAAACAAACTCTTGTAACGTGAAGCAGAACCCCAAAAAGAAGCCACTCCTGTGCAATATCTAAGAAAAGCTGTCCCTGGTTCATGGTGGCTCCTGGCAAAGCCCCCACGCCGCAGGTGTTTGCTGTCAGGTTGGCCACACACCAGCCAAGGGGTGGCAGGGACGTGCCACAGACCACAAAGCTGGCCAAGGCCAGCGCTGCTGTAATGCTCAAGGCAGCGGGTTTTGGAGACGCGTCTGCCCACTCCCACCCAACTCAAGCTGTGAAGAGGAGACGCAGCAGCAAGGAAAAGGCATTGGTGCTCCAGATTTGATGTGGGGAAGCCACTAGGGCCAGAGGGATGCAGGAGGGGCTGGGTGGCATCACGTCACAGCAGCCCAGGGCTGGCTTGCTGCAAGCCGGGAGGCAGAGATATTTTTTTTTCTAGCCAGCTGGTTTCTTACGGGGGTGGTGGGGAAGGACAGGAAGAAGCAGAACAGATTGCAATACCGGGTCTGAGGGAAGCTGGAGAGTTGGGAAGGGGCAGGAGACATGAGAGCAGGAACCCCACAAGGACATTTGCTCCAGAGCACCCAAAGCCATCAAGCCTCAGCAGACAGACACACCAAAGCCCTACAAGACACCTCCAGCACAGCCCGCGGACACCGAGAAGCAGGAAGACGAAGATGCCTGGCTATACGGTCACAGGATGTCCAGAGCCACCCTCCTTGCACACATATCCTCAGGGAAGACATGCAAACAGCCTCTGCACCCCAAGCATCCCCCCTGCCTGTTGCTGTTTGAGTATTGCCCTTTTCATGGCTGCAATTGCAATTTTTGAACAAAAATACCTATGCTGCAGGTAAAAAGCATCTCCCTCCTACAGCCCAGGCTATGCTGCAGGACCAGTTCCCCCAGATCTGGATGAGAAAGGCAACCTCCTGGGGTCACCCTACCTTCCAGCTAGTCCTAGTTTACTGCAGAAACACTCCCCCAGCTGCTGGGAACAGTCTTCATAAGGAAGAAAAAATAGCATCCCGGAGAACAACAAAGTTAAGCAGAGGGGTCCTGGGTGACAGCCCAGCGAAGGCATTAACACCTTAGACTCCTGCCGTTGGGCTGCAAGGCTTGAATTTACTGAGTTACAAGCTCATTCAGGGCTCCTGCTAGTCGCAAAACCAGCCTGGGGCCATCTCATTGTGCAGAAGAGCTGCAGGGATGCCCCAGAGCTGTCTCCCCACCTCTCAAAGGATGCTTAGGGCTTCAAATTCACTGCCCAGAGAGGAGAGGGATCCTGCAGGCACGCCTGGGAATTTCCAAAGGGTTTGCCTGTGTGCCTGCTTTTTATCTCCCGAATATTTCTGGTGTGAAGGAGGAAGCCCAACCGCAAGCCCTGCTGCAGGCAGCAATCATCCGCAAGATGCACGGAGCCAACAGGGCAACGGAGGGGTCCCAGTGCTGAAATGAAGGAGCGCAGGGGATCCTCCAGCACCACAGCGGGATGCAGTGACTCGGAAATTGGAGCAGAAAGGGAGAGAGTTGGATGTTTCACCTCAGCAGGGGCTGGGAGTGAGCAGCGAGGCAACGTCACGAGGGGACCGGCGGGGTGAGTCACTTCTGACTAAGCCATCCGTTCGGGAGGCACCCACGGAGTCCCCACCGCCGGGCTCCAGCCGCTGCCAAGCTGCCAGAGGAACTCCCGCTTTCGGAAAGGCTTAAGCGCAAAAGCCTGACCTGAGCCACTCCCAAAGGCAACCAGATCTGACCCCGTGGGGTGAAGCAGCAGCTCCCTGGCTACCTCCCTCCTAACCCCCGGGATTTTCCAAAGCAGAAAACTCCTGCCTTGATGCTGCTGAGGCTCCGTCACACCTCAGCTGATCGCGCTGGGACGCTCCAGAGACACACGATGACATGCCCTGGCTTTGCGATGCTGGCAGAGGGAGCAGAGCCCACCACTGATCTCACCCACGTACCCGCTCCTCCCAGGAAGCAATCCCATCCGGCTCCTGGGATGGCTCCTCCCTGGGCATCCCACGGCTGCACCGCACAAACGGAGTGGTGGAGAGTCTCCCATGGCACTTTGTGCCCAGGCTATGGGACACATCATGTAGGTGGCAGGAGTTACTGGGGGTATGAGCCCCCCAGCCCCTGGGGTGTGTGGGAAGGACTGCTTTTCAGGGTAGAGAAAGAGCAATTTTTATGTAGCGGGCAGCAAACAGAGCACGAAAGGCACACGGAGCTACACCCACAGGCAGTGCATGGCTGTGAAATGCTTACGGCCAGTTAGCACTGGCTATTTCTGCAGGAAGAAAGACACTGTTGGAAAAAAACCCTAGGGAGGAGCACACTGCAGAGGAAGCCCTAACCTTACCTGCCCCCAGCTCCTTGCACGGTATGAAGAAATGCATGGCAGAGAGCATCTCCCTGCTCCCCAGGAGGGTCCGCAGCTGCCAAGGGATGCTCGGTGAATGCCCCAGGCTACAAGGACAGCAGGAAGGTGCAGACCTGAAGGATGATCACCCACCTCTGCTGTGCATGGTGTGGGAGGGGGGGGATGCTTGACAGCACTGAGCTGCCCAGCCAGTGGCTGGGGATTTGGGAGATACCCCTGTGCTGGGAATGGGGCCACACCACATGACTCGCTCTCGCTCCGGAGCAGTCCTGCCCCATGCACTTCCCGGCTGCCTTTGCAGCATGGAGGTGGCTGGCAGACAGAGCCGGCTTTCTGCAGCTCCAGGAGCTGAACCTCTGAAACACAAAGCACAACGCCTCAGAGGAACAAACCCCTCGGCGAGCAGCAGGGTCTGCCCACGCCGGATCCTGCTAGCGGAGGCAGGAGGGGCTGCACACTGTGCCACAGGCAGGAACAACCCTGCCTGGCTGTCCCACCTTCTCTGCTCCTGCCTCCCCTTCAACACGTGCCACCCTTGAACACAGGAAGAGCCAAGCTGTCTCGTGGCCAGCGACCACTGGGAGCAAGAGGGGGATAGTGGGGCTGCAGATGACAAAAATCCCAGCTGTGGGATTTCAAGCTCTCTCTTCCCCAGGAGAAAGGAAAAACACCAAGGCAACACGCAGAGGAGCACAGCATATCCCCACTTCCGGAGCCTTGGGAAGCAGAGTCCCCCTGTGAAACACTCACCCAGGACACCCCCCAGGACCTGCTGCAGGGTGCTGTCTGCTTCATACCTGCATATGGGGAGCAAAGAAATCAAAGGTGTCTATAACCACCCTCAGATGGGTAAGATCCAGGCAAAGAGCAGACTTTAAGGGCTATGAAATCAACATTGCGATAAATAAGCAGATGGACAATAGCCTCAAAGCAGCAAGATCCAGGTGGGGATAACCTGAAATGCCGAGGCAGCTCAGGCAGGGTGCTCAGCCTCACCCCATCCTGCTCAGCACCAGCTTAACAGAAGGCTGGCCCCAAAACCGACCTCAACCCATACTGACCTGCAGATGGTAATTTAAGCCATCTGGCTAGAGATGAACCCCCCTGCGTTCTCCCCAGCTACAGACGTACAGGCCTTGGACGGACCGATGGATGGATTGAAAGGTGGATCTAATTCCCCTGCAGCACTTCCGACAAAATGCAGCTCCATTGCCTTGTAGGGAGAGCTCCCAAATGAATTACTGCAATTACGCCGGCTGCAGGAGAAACTGCGGGTTTTCCCTTGCTGGCGACAA